ACTCTAGTATGTCTTCTAACAGCTCAGGTCACGTCACTAGTTTCTGAAACAGTTAGTGAAGCCTGTGCTGGCTTTCTTTGGAGGACAGAGCCTCCTGAGAAGGGGGTGGTAAAGTCCAGGTGCCAAGAGCTGAGATCAGGGTGTGCACTGTTCGCACTGGCTCAGCACGCTTTGGACCGTGGGGCCAAAAAGTTCTGTTTTCCTGAAGAGGTAAGAAAACCATCAGAAATATCAAAGAACGGTGGGTGCTTTAGGTTACTCAGAGGAAAGGCTGGGAGCAAAGAGGTCCAGTCTGACAGGTCCTAAACACGGTGCGCTGCAAACTGTCCAGGGGAAGCTCTTGGGAGTCTGTGCACCCCCACCATTCCCACTGGGATGTCACCACTTCAATTAAAATTATTCCTGCTCGCTTTTGTCGCATGACTAACGCCACAGAAAGCATAACCTTTTATGAATGTGTTTTGAACAAAAGAACATAGTTATCTTTAATAGAGGGTTATACAACAAATACTAATTAGCCAAGAATGTAAGGTAAATATATTTACCTTCTATAGCAGAACAACTCACAAAGAGCTCACAGCACTTCTCTGAGATAAAAACACTATTCAGGGCTGTGAAAAGGACAAGCTTCCAATGAAAAATCCTGTTCTGCTTTCCAACGGAAATTCAACTTGGTATCAAAATTTCCAGTGAAATCGTGAATCTGGAGCTTGCTGTGGTATACAGGGATTTGGAACTTCTTTTTCCACTTGAAATCGGTGAGATGTCTGCCGCAGAACTCAGTGGGAGTGAGACTGGATGACCTGGTACTTTGGGTACTCCTGATGGCCTGTTAGGAGCCTGGACTTCTGATGTGGGTTTGGTTTTTAAGTGTAAGAGTTGTCTTGCTCTCTTGGATAAATACAATTTGCAACTCACTCTGTAGATGTGCTAGAGCTTTTTCAGCTTCTACAATCTGTCATATAAATCCATATTCAAGTGTCAATGTGTGAAGGGGCTGCTGTAGAAGTCCTCTGGGGGAAAACATGAATGGAATTTCTAGAGGAAATGCTCTCAAATATGAATAACTTGTCTAGTTAGCCAGTTACTTTAGAAATGAGATGCTGCTGGCAAGAGTCACTAGACTGAATTCAACGGTTGTTTTTTTCTTTCTACCTGTAACTGACAACTACCAGAGTTGGGAGTTTTGGTGGGAGAACTTGTGGAAAATAAACTTCTGAATGTGAGGCTCAGATCCAGATATGACAACGTCAGCCTCCTTGTACTTCCAAAGTTTTGTTAACTTTAATGGTAATTTCGGGTATGCATGGAAAGCAGGCTCGAGGAGCTACAGGAAAAGAGATCAGTAATATTATTTCTGAGATAATTTCCATGACCATCATCATGTTGATCACAATTTCTTTTATATGTTTCTCATTTTTCTTGCCTTTCACCCTCTGAAAGGCCAGCTTGCTTGCTTGTATGGTATTTCCTTCAAAAAGCCAACTGGGAAGGTGTGTTAAGAGTACTGCGTTAAGGTGAGCGTAAGTGATTCAGAAACCATCTTTGACAGTGGCTGTTTAACCCTCTTCTCCTTTGGCAGACCAGTCGTGCACTGCTCAACTTTCTCCATTTTAGATGAGAGAATTTATGCAGCCCATAAAAATTTACTGGAAAGAGGGCGTCTACCTCCATAATGCCTAATCTGGCACCCTTTACTTATGCAAATTTAATCAATGGACAAATGCTCTTCTCACAGCAGCCCTGCTAATACAAGCAACATCAAAGACTTTGTCAAAGCTGCACCAAAACAACTCCAGGATCGGTGGTATGAAAGATTTGGCCTCCAACTTCACATCACCAGCCGTTCACTCACGTGAGTAAGACTTCCAGAATCGGATCCTTTCTCTCCCTGAACTAGAGCCAACCGCTTAACTTGGGAAGAGCTAAGCAGAGCCAGCCGAGTGGGCTGAGCACAGTCAATCCTAACAAATTACAATAAGAAATGTATCACGCTGCCTGCTGTCAGGTGTAATTTATATCATACCAGAGGGGTGACTGGAGAGCAGGTATAGGCAGGAACTGGTCATATCTATACTTGCTCCTGCTGGGCCTGATCTGGCAAGCTGCTGAGAGCTCTTCCCTTCCATTGAAGTCAATGTGAACTGAGTTTGTTCAGGATCTAACAAGATTAGGCCTCCTCAAAATACTATGGAAGGAGAAACCTGATTTGACGATTTTTTCTTTTTTTTTTCCCCTGTGTTTCCTATTAGCATGTGATGTCTCTGTGTATGAATACCCTGATTGTATTTATACACATGCTCACAATCTGTATGTGTCTTTAAACATACACGTACAGTACACACTACAAGCTAGAAGCCTACTTCAGATTTTGGAGTACAGAGAAACAAACAGAGGTGATAACACAAATAAAGAGGAAGTTTATTCTCACAGCTTTCAATTTCAGTAAGCACAAAAATTTTATGTGACTGGAACTAAGATTTAGCAAAGCATTTCAGCATATGCTTACATCTTCTGCTGAAATACATTGTATAAATTTGTTTGATTTATAAGATTTGAAGCTTTCAAGCTCATGCTCAAACCAAGAGTTTAATATGCTGTCCAAAATAATCCAGAAAGCTCTGTATGCAGAAGAGTATGGCCATACCTCTACCTGTGGCCATGCTCATTATCTCTGAGCATAAGCTAACAGTGCTCTGGCATTATTTCCAGATGTCTTGCTCAGAAAACCTATCTCCTTCCTCCCGCACCTGTAAGAGACTCGGGATTCCTCTCCCAGCCAGACCACTGCAAAGACAGTCTGTGCCTTTATGGAAGATAACACACCAGGACAGCAAAGCACCATCAGGAGCTTCAATCACCCCCACTGAAATAACTGCAAGTACTTTGCCTTAACTTGGAATGAGAGCAAGCCAGACTCAATGGGGGGTAACCAACCAAGTCCACTATGCAGAACTGCAGAAAACCAAATTTAAAAATAAATAAATAATAAAAAAATTAGTGTACCCTCCATCCAGCTTCATAATATATGTAGCAGTATGTCCTTCTTGGGTGAAGGGTTATTTTTTGCTGTAAAAATATACACTGTTACTATTTAATCTTTTGAGATTTACAGGTCTCATCCTGTAAGCTGTTACTCCAGTGAGAACTGAAGTTTCAGCAGCTGAAAAAGCATTCAAGCCTTCTGAGATAACACAGCAATACAAACAGAAGACAATACACAGCAAAACATCAGGGAGCACGTGAGCTCTGGTCAGTCACGGTTCTGTACTTGTAGTTTAAACAAAATACAAAGCCTGAAGAAATGCGCTTTTGCTATTTAGCAAGCAGCGGGGGAAAATAGTTTAGATCAGTATTCTGTTATCTTTAAATAAAATCTCTGAAATTTACCTGTATTCTCACACAGGTTCCATAACTGAAGGTTTTGTTAACTAAGTCTGATACAGGGCATGCTTTAAAAATTGTGTCAGCAGTGATGTTTTAAAATGTGGAAACAGATGTGGTACTCCATTACAAAGGCTGAATCTTCTCTGTATTTTTTTTATACTTGGAAGTGTTTGTCTGCTTCTCTGTTGCAAACCTCTCCCCACTGAAGAGATTTCTTCTCTAAGATTAAAGTACCACCACATAGACATCATTAAACAGACACTGTCCAAAAAAATTGTATCCTTTTGGCCTAGCCATAAAACATAGGTATTTTAATAATTGCTTCTTTTCCACAGAAAATTTCAGCAGCTCCCTCTCCTTGGAATGAAATCACAGCCATATGCTTTATGACATCAGAGGCGTTTCAAGGTGTCTCCATAAATGTCATTTATTGCTTGGGAACCTGCCAAAATCTCTGCAAAAATTCCCTAGTTCTTTTAAAGGAAAAATCTTCAAATTAAACTAAAGCTTTACACTGGCTGTCATACCAAAAAAATAAATCTATCCCTTATGGAAATACTGGCCATGTAGGTAGCAAAACCTCTGACAATGAAACCTGCTGACCTGGGCTCTGGTTTGCTTTTGAGTCAATAGTGCCTCCTTCAACCAGTTTGCTGGGCACCCCGACACTGCACATCCCCACCTTCTCTTGGTTACATATGAGGCACTTACCCTTCTGAAAAATAAGCTGTCTGAATGACAAAAAGCTGAACTGGTTTAGTGATCATAACTTCAAACCAAAATCATGTATATTTTAAAATAGTGCTCCTGTGAATATGCTTTAACCCTTAAAACAGTGGTTCCTTCCACGCTACTGTCACAGGCCTGATGATGCCCACGATCCTCCATCCTTCCCGGTGCCGAGTACCCCATGGGACTGGGAACCGGGCAAATCATAAAAAGACTCTGTCATGTACAGAAATGTTCTCTCATGCCACATCTATTCATAATGTGATGTATCAGTAGTTGGCTCTGTGATAATACTAGCCAGATCTATACAAACCTTGCCAGATGCATCGCCAGCCTGCCCAGCACAAATCAGCCACCTTTAAGCAAGCAAAGCTCCAATCTAACCTGCAGCTGCGAGGTGACAGAGCAGGTCAGCCGGCCACTGCCCAAAGGAAATGACCACTGCCACTGAGGCACGCAGCTACCACCGAGTTCAGGCTCAGGCTGGCCAATAAAAGCACCCATTACTAGCAGCGTAACAGAGCTGTGCTGTTTTCTTGAAGCAAAAAAAGGATTTTTTTTTCCCTTAAACGCGAAGGAAAGTTGCTCGGTACTGTTGGAAATAATCTAGGGCAGCACACCAACAGGTGCTTCAAACGTATCGGCAGAGCGCAGAAGATGTTGAAAGAGAAAATGAATAGGCTCTCTAAATAATACATAAATTTTACAGGCTTTTTTTTTCTGTAGAACCCCAGCAAAGTTACTGTATAAATCAGAAGCTGAATTATTCATAACTGGCGAATATATAATAAATCATTTGCACTGAAATATTTCTCACAGGTACATGCGTCTTTCGATGCAATGAACAAGAACGGGCTGTGTGCCTGAAGACGCCGAGGTCTTACCTGGAGTCTGGGTACTTTGTCAAGGTAGCCAGGCTGCTGGTGTACATGTGTCCTCCTACATCGATGTGCACGGGAGCGTTCGACTTGGTGAGCTGAGCTGGGAGAGGAATTCCTTGAGCAGCCAAAGGAGAAACTGGGGACCGTGTTAGAGACAGACGGGACATGCTTCTTCCCTCCTGCAAAGGGAAGGCAAAAAAAGAACAGTTTCTCTTAAATGTAGCAGTGTGTTACCTTTCTTTCCAGTGTGATCACAGATCTAATCAGATCATTTTTGCATCTGCCTGATCACATATTCAGCTAACAAATTATTGCCACCACTGTAATTAAGTGTATTTGCATCATTTTCTTCAAAGTACCAGAGGGTAAGAGAAAGATGCTTATTAGCAATAAGAAATCAAGAAAAAAAATTTTTCAAGGTGTCAGCCTCAAGGGGCATAAAACAAACTGCAAAATTCTAATTAAAGGTCGCGGGCTTATGTGTTAGATGTGAAATATCCCCTGACAAACGAATAACCAATTTGTGAATTGGGATTCAGGGGTTTTTGCAAGTTTGTCTCGGTAACGAGACACCTCTAAATTAGTGACTTCCTCAGTACCGAAGGCATTTAGTTTATACATGTAGTAAATTTCACATCAAACTAAGATCAATTTTCTGGTTTATTTTCAATAATTGTGAAATAAATGGATAATTTTCAGTTAAGCCTTAATATCAGACATAAAGAACTAATAAGCCTTCAAACTGAAGGCAGTTAATACCTGGAAGCAGTGAAAACAGGAAGGTATATAAACTAACCTGTGTTTTCATGACAAAGACGCATTAGAAATTACTGTACAATCTGGCATGTGAAATTACAAATTCAACAATCCACCTAATGTTTACTGCCCTAAAAGTACTTGAAAATCAGTGAAATTTCTGAATTGAGTCCAAAAATCTTCAGCTGACACACAAAGCATAAAATACTGAAATGTCTTAAAAATGAACAGGACAACCATAGCAAAAGAAAATTCCTCAATTCTCTTCTGTAAGAAAAGCACAGCTTATTCTGCATGAAACGTGTCTCAAAGCTGATTTCAGTTAAATTGGTATAGACAGCATACATGTCAAATGGAAAAAAACCTTTTACAAAAGTTTAAGAAAATGTCCATCCATTCTCCCCCTTACGGGTAAAGCAACACATGCAAAACATTATAGTTGACGACATTTCTGAATATAATCTAATTTTCTTGGTATTTTGTTCTGCAAGCATGCTACCAAGCATCCAGGCTCTTCCTTACATCTGACAAGCGCTTCACATGCAGCATTGCAAAGTGAATTCCCATTCCTCCTACATTACTTTGACAATGTTTCTTAGAAATCTCAAGCTGGTCTTGCCTTTCTCTTAGCAGTAAGTATTTGGCACAAGATGCCTGGCTACGCCACTCGATGAACATACAATTAGCAACATCCTTTGTAGAAAAAAATTCTGAGCTATATAGAAAGGGACTGAAAAATCTTAATACATCTGGACAGCTTCACAAAGTCATCACAACATCTCCATTTACTGTATTTCATCTCACTTAGCTCCTAAGAATTTCCCGCATCTACAGCACAGAAATACATCACCCCATTATGAATCCACATCCTTTCCTCTTCGGAGGCTGGATGGACATCTGCACTGAACACGACGCAAATACCAACTCTGTCCTAGGACTTCTGTGTCAGCCGATGCGAAATTGGGCATTAACATTTTTGCTACAGCACCACCTTCAAGGAAAGTGATCGAATCCTTTCATGACTGAAGACGTAGCTTCCTTGTTTCCCACAAGAGCCTGTTGTGGGCAATCTTCAGTAAATATGTCATACAGCATAAATAAAAGAACTAACTTTTAAAAACAACTTAGTATGTTAAGTACCTACAGTATTTTAGCGATGTGTTTACTAATCTGTGGGTGCCTCATCTGTCTGACAACACAGACAAAGGGGTTTTTTTTCCTTACCAAAGAGCACTGTAAACTCATGTTCACTCTCTACTCCTTCACTTAAATGAAAGGGTCAGAAGATCCAGGCTGAATGTCAACCCTGTCTTTGTTCAGACCCCAACTATTATCACTAATGATACAGGTACAGACATCGCATGGTGCAGAGCCGCCTCAGAAATAAATCTCACGCAGTTTCACAAAACAAGTGCCTAATTAGGGCTCATCTGCACCCCTTGTTACAATCTCCAAATGAAATCAAAGGACTTCAGTCTTCTGTAAACGCATCTTACATTTAACCATTTGTCTTGAAATACAGACTTCGATTTTAAAATATGCACAGATAGCTAAAGATCAAGTGCTCTGAATCTATTTGTGCATATTTAAACACTGCTGCTATCTTAGGATTTTGTTTAATGTTAGTATACCAGTAAATTCCTTGATCTGAAAAGAGTCTGAGATTCTCAGTGAGGCCATACTCACACAGTAGATATTTAATTTATACTATTCACTGGAGGGACCTTTTGAACAATCCTCTGCTTTTGGCATCTCTCAGCTAAAGCATGTGTTGAAAAAACACTTAATTATAGAAAATCATTGGAAAGCTAAAATAGTTCTCAAACTTTTATAGCTGTTCATACTTATTGAGGGTGACACTGGCTTTTTGGGGGAGGGGAGGAGAAGGGGAATTAAAACACAGGCTTTTCCCCTGCTTGGAGAAGATTTGTGTTAAAAAATACGAATCCAACATTTTTATTAAAGTTGTGGAATTCAATCATTTTTGTATGAGCAAACTATCAAGGGGAATAATTGCTAAGCACTACATAAAGGGCACTGAAAACACTCCTATTGCTCAAAAAAAAAGAAATATCCCCTATTTCTTAAGGTACCAAAACCCTATTTGTAATGACTCCCTCTTCTTCTTCTTCTTACTGTAAAACGCAGCTAAAATTCATCACACTAACATACTTATTTTATGCACAAAGCAAAATCCTAAATGTACTTATCCAGTGAAAGTCTTTATGCACGTATTTTCTAATACTGATGTGAAAATTAAAACCTTAAGGGTAAATATCGCAGAAACACTAACAAACTTCATTTATTAAACCATGTAAAATAATCCTTGCTCTTTAGTTGCCTACAACAGGATACAGCATCCCAACCAGTGGCACAGGCAATAACCCTGCTCTAATAAGTAACACAGGAACCTGCTGAAGGCAAAATCAATAGAGCCTGATTCCCAAATTATCCGAATATTTAGTTTTTCAAACATTACACACCAAGATCTTTCAGAGCCAGCTTATCTTTTTCTGCCTTTCTAAGCTAACTGCATAAGTACTGCTTGTAAAAACTATTTGCCCATGCAAAGTGAAATAATCACAATGCCATGCTCATTTACACACAAAATGATTTTGTGTCCCATTGTGCTCACAGTTGTTCAGCTCTCTAGGGGTGATTAAACTAGCTATGCTGCTACAGCTTGAGATGATTTCACTGAATCGTTTCTCCATGAAGTTGCTTCTTTGCTAAGCTGTTATTTTAACCATAAAAGGTAAACAGAAGGCAGTTGTAAGAGCTCCATTCAGCTCTGTGCCCAGGGCTATAACCCTAGGGCAGAGAATGCTGAAAGACTGCAGAATTTTCCAGGGTGTTGCCTTTCTTGCTCTAAAGCCTTCAGGAATACTGTTCATTTAATACACACTCTAGATGATACATTTCAGATCCTACTAAAAGAAAGACTTCAAAAGTGTAAGAACTTTTGGGCGGATGAAGCTTTCCCACCTCTGCACATAGCTCGGGGCCATGGTAACCAATACTGCTGTTGATGTTGGGAAAATACAGTAGAAATAAACTGCACAGAGCAGAGCAGACAGATAGGGACAAGGGAGGTGAAAGGTTGCAGGCAAGAAACAGGCAGCAGTCTGGAAGGGATAACAAGAAAAAGGGAAAAGAATGAAAAAGGAGGCGGCTCTGAAGGAGGGACAAAGTTAAATCAAGGAGCAGGCACTTAAAAGACTACAGATGGGAAGCAAGACTAATTAAGGATGTAAAAGCGCTTTGTTTCTAAAGTTTATTGTTGCCAGGATAAAAATTAATTGAAACCAATGCTGTTATTCACTCGTGCAGTTTAATTCCTTCATGCACATTTAAGACGTGAAATGAAAACGGCAGGTTTAAGGAC